ATTAACACTGGCCCCCCCCCCCCACCCCCTGTCGTGTGTGTATTTGCAGCTCTGAGTGTGTTTTGACTGTATATGTGTGACATGTACACATGTGTGCTTGTGAATGTTGACAAAATCCAATACCAGAATATTTTAGACCAAATACCTTGATATTGCTATAAACTGTATTTTTGTAAAAAAAAATTGCTTTTTTCTATTTTTCTAGGAGACATGTAAAAATGTTTTACATAGTCGAAAAAGGAAAAACATTCTGCGATTGCATGCAATGTTTTGTGAGACAACACAAAATCTTTATGCGAAGGTAAACATTTTTAGCAAGGGATTTTTTTCTCCCAACTATAAAATTTACACACAAGAAATTTGTGACAAAGTGATTTTCAGGACAATTTTTTTTTATCCTCTTTGACCTGTTGCATATATGTTTTGTGCATGTCTACATTTATGCTTGTGAATGTTTGTCTGTATGTATACTTGCGTATGCACATTTGATTGAGTTAGTGTGTGTTAGTCCATAGATGCCTGTATGTCCTTTTGCAGTACCTATTTTAGTGTGTATGTGTGTGTTAATGTGCATCTGTGTATTTTCACACCAGCTTCTTCAAGATGTGTGTGTATATTGATGTGTGTCTGCATCCATTTGTGTGTGTGTGTAGCTTGTGAGTGTGTTTCTGGATGTTAGCACTTGTATCCTAATGCACACCAGGTCTGTGTGTACATCAATCTTTGCTGCAGTGACAGCACGTTGCCTTGTATGCACTGCTCTCTATCCCTGACCCAGTATGCTGTGTGATCCTGCCTACAGACTCATTTGTCTCCATCAGAGGACAGGCGAGGTTACGACTCACCAAAGCGCAGTATGTTTCTGGTGGATCTCCGCACGTGATGTTTGGGGGGTCGAGGGCCACTCGCAGGTACTGCGTCATGTCGGTGGCTTCTGGCTGACAGGCCATGTAGTCCCATGCCAGACCCTCCTCCGTATAGATCTGGGACTTGCACACGTCATAGTGTCCCCAGGCCGCCGGGTAATGTTGCATGGCATGAGCCACGCTTGAGCACAAGGCTTGTAGAGTGAACAATACGAGCCAAAGCATCGCTGATCTTGTTCTGTATGGCTGCTGCGGGACTTCTTTTTCTGTCTTTACAGCTGATGTTTCATCACAAAAAGGACAATATCACTGAGATTTTTCTAAATGAACTGCAGCTTTGAGCGGTGCAGTGGAGCAGTTGGGAACTGTGGCAGCATGTTGCTACTTTTGTGTGAACAGCTTCAGGCAGCGATTAGCCCCCATTCAGTTATTTTGTCTTCGATTGCTGCCACTTCTGCCTGGCTGATGAGGTGTGTCAACAAGTGCGCTTCTTCATAAGTGTTGAGCGTTGATGAAAGGGTCAACTAACGGTCAGGTGTGATGTGCAGAGAGGAGTGACACTCTTCATAAGTCAGTGGCTGTCAGATGTCTTAGCTTGATCTTCTCTCTGTTGTGGGTTTTGCCACGGCAGCATCCTAGAGGACAGAAGAAAAAACTGTTTAGTGAATTAAACAGATCGCATAAGCACACAAAAACATTTGAAGCACTATATTAAAATATTAACAGAGGTTCAACATGGTTTAAGGGAACTAAGGTGGATAAGTAGTGCGCCTCACTACCTACTACCACACACACAACAGACACACAAACACAATTCAAGGTTCCACTGTTTAAATATATCCCTCAGTAATAACCTTGCCAAAATCACTGTATACAATTCAAATTGAGCTTGTTCTGAAAAGCCTAATCTCCCTTTGATTTTCATACAAAAAGGCTCATTTCCATGTGTCAAGTCACTGCATTTAAGTTATTGCTTTTTCCAACTCTTGCTCCTTAATAGTCGAATGTGTAGTTGCATTTGTCCCAGTGCCTTCAGAGGCATTTGGGAAATATTAAAGCAAAATTGGGAGACAGAAATGGTCTATTTGAGGGATTGTGCGTTTCTCAGAGCTATCACAAGCCATCAGTCAGATGGCCTAACTCGTCAGGTAATGGTGCCTGGCAGCAGTCAATGGAGACCCACACGATCTCAATGTCTCAGGTAAAAAGCGGGAGCGGGGAAAATAAAATGGAGGAGCTATATACAGCTGCCTCCAACAGTAATCACACCGTAAATAGGAGTTAAGTCACTGTTGACTGTCTATGTGCTCACATGGCCCGAGGTTTTGACTTAGTGAAAAGAAGTCTTTGTTCCTGGGAGTGGCTGTTCAGAAAAATTTACTTACATTTCAATTTAATCTTTGCCTGCTTTGGGCACAATTTAAACAACCACGTACAGTTATTCCTTTTGATAGCCTCTTACTTGTTTGCAATGTGACATCATATCATTTAATTCTGACTTAAAGAATGCCTGGCACAACCAGCTGGTACATGCAGTTGAACCAGTAACTTTCCGGTCAGCAGCTTTATTCTCTACCCCTCAGGCTACAGCCGCCCTCCTGTGACTGACAGTCACTGCTGAAATATATATATATTTTTAAGTAAGCTGCAGTTTGAAGCATGTGGAGAGTCTTTTATGTTCAGAGGAAACAGCTACTTTTCAATTTTTGTCAAACGATTACAGTTATTATCAGGAGATTATCAAGTCATATCAAATTAATTAAGGAAAGTATTTTGATATAAAAGCTTTATCATATGAACGGACAAAGATTCAAATCAGATTTGGGTAACAGAATCTCATCTTAATGAGTTGCTGTGGCTCACACACGCAGGCTTGTGCCTGTGCTCCCCGCTGACATATGGAGGCATTAGAATTCAGTATTTTAACATGGCCATCTTGCCTTGGACTGAAAATTGTGCCAATTTGAATGGGTTTTGACCACATTTAAAGCAATTACTGCTTCCCTTCTCCCAACCTAATGCCCCTTTTACAAAATGACTACAGGCTTGAATACATTCCAACTGTAGTGAAAGATGTTCATCTGAGCCAAAGAAATTATCTGCACTGCTATTCAGACCATTTAAAGTGAGCAATGTCAAGAGGTATGGATGGCCAGCTTGTTTGACAGACCTCTGGTGGGAGAAGGAAAGAAACTAGTGGGAAAAAACACACAAGGGAAAGAATTTAGACTTTTTAAATGTGCTCTTGTCAATCAGCGAGACTCCCTAAGAAGAGGCCAATTACAAATTTGATAACACGGCTGGAGCTCTGAGTGATGAATAAGCCATTTCTTTCATGGTGATGCAAATATTAAATTTCATAAATATAAATGTCAGTCCCTGATCAGAGATGCGTCATGAGATGGACCACTCTCATCTCACATGCCCACACACACACACACACACACACACACGCACACACACACACACATAGCCACACTAGATAAACCCCCTTTTCATCACTGAGGTTGACTTTCATTATAAATACAGTCAAATTAGGTACCAGCGGCAGGGTGGTGGAGGTCGCTTATCTTATTTTTATTTAATAGGGAACATTCAAAGCTAATAAGCGACAGCAAATGGAGCTAACCATAGGAATATTGGATTTAATTCATATACACCTGGAGTAATGAAATCTATACAGATGAGAGGAAGGTGTCAGGATGTTCAGTGAACCTCTATGGCTTGATACCATTCAACATCAGAGCACTGCTAAGGTGACAGTAAAGAGGAAAAAGTGTTCAATATAAAATATTTCAAGCCTGTATTCTGCTCATGAGGTAATTTCTGCATACAATAAGTGTTCTGACACCATTTAGAAAGCCCATTCATCTCCTATGGTGAATTAGTGTATGAAAATAATTGCAATTCATAATATTTCTTAGTGCTGTCCAGGTTCTCAGTTCACATACAGCCCCTATTATCAAAGTATTTTGTTAAATTTACACAGAAAAAACTACAAATGAAACAAACAGCAATATTATAATCTTCCCCGCTGTCCCTTCATCAATGCCTCACAGTCCGAATGCAAGGAGAAACTCAGGAATGTCGTAATTTCACTGAGAAAAATACGAGGTCAGATTCTATATTAAAAGTCATCAATATTTGAGCAGTTCTCCTTACTGGGGGGAGAGAGAGAGAGCTTAGGTTGACCACATCACCTCTCTCTCGCTCTCTCTCTCTCTCTCTCTTGCTCTCTCTATGTCTCTTTTCCCTCACTTGTTTTTGAAGCCTCTGAAACACCCCCTTGTGTCCGCTTGCATTCCATCCCCTGGGCAGCTCAAGCATGGCAGAGTGTTTTAAAAGTCAGCAGGCAGCCGTGCCCCGTGGCTTATATTGGTTACAAACTCCCAGCCAGACTCTTAAAAACCTTGGCGGATGTATTCCATTCATTTTATAGTAATCCTGCTAAAGTGTGGCTTTGCTCTCAGTCTCCGAGTGTGGTTTTCCTGAACCACTCTTGGCTCCCATATAGGGCAATGTGAAGGGGGGGCTGTCCATGGTTCTGAAACACAGGACACCATATCTGCTCCTATGCTCTACACAGAAGGGCCAGTACCTTAAACTCTGACACCACTGATTGCGGGATGACACTTTTATTGATGTTAAAATAAAAAATAAAAAATAAGCCTAGACAGATGCTCCCTCTGTGACTTATCCTGCAACAATTGCTATTTTGTTGTCTTGTCTTTCTGTATCGAGCACCTGGTCCGGATTTTGGATGCGTGCACACACAATACTGCCTCGTTGTGTTTATTGATTTTGCTGACTTCCAACCAATAACTTCTGATCCATAGCCAATTTGAGCAGACTGATGCTTTGTGGCTGGCTGATGAGTGCAACAATAAACGGGTTAATGCTTCCAACGTTCTCGGAGCCAAGAACCAACCCTTCCATATGAGTCACAGTGGGTTCAACTGGCAAGCAGAAGCATGTCTGTTCTGGCACACACTTGTCTTCTTATTGTTTTTCTCTCCTTCGTTCCCTCTCTCTGGGTCCCTCATTCAACCTCTCTGTTCGGCTCTTTCTTTCTTTGTCTCTCACTGTCTCTCAATAGCATCCTTGCTGCACTAGATCGGTAAGCACATAAAACAAGCAATTAATGTCTGAGGGCTGCACTTTTAACCTCTGTGATTGGAGTCACTTTTTTTTTATTTACAACAAGGACTGGCTGCTTTCCTGCAAAGAGCTTTTTCCCTGAGAGGATGCGGTTGAAGTGGTGACAATGTGAGGGTCCCTCAGTGTGGAGCCCAGCCGCAGAGCCTGCACCACTGCCACACATGAAATCTGCTGCCATACATTATTCAGAGTTCTTGTCCTGAACCACTAACATGCAAAAATGCAGAGCATGTAGCAAAAAAAATTAAAATCCAGGTCATGTAAGATTCATGCAGTTAGAAACAGTACAGAGACCAAACCAAAAATACAATAATGTTACATTTTGTCTATTTATATAACCAATGTAAATTAAGATGCAAAGAAAGCAACACTTTCTCAGAAAGTCTATTAATATGGATATATACAGTAACAGAAGCCGTGTTCATTATGTTCTGGGTCAGATTTTGCGCAGAGGCGAGGCACACCTAGATCTGACTCCACTGACCTGCTGCGCAACAGGTTAGAGTCACACTATTTAGCTCATTAAAAGGCTGAGGATAGCGGGGATACATTGAAAAATAACAGCTTTAGCTAAAGTGTATACGATGCATATTCAGATTCATAAGCTCCCACATCTTCTAAAACAACAAAAACCTCCTCAATATAGTAAAACTTCTCAAAGAGGAAAACGGTAAGACGCTGTGAATGTAATTTGCGATCTTTTTATTCAATTTAATACGAGCCGCTCATTCCTTATTCATTTAACCCACTTCAAACCTGATCACTGTTAACGTTCCGCCCATGAAACAGCCCACTGTAATTACCCTATTATTGCCCATTTAGTCACGATTGTCATCATCGTACAAGTGACGGTATGCAAAAAGGAAAATGCACAATCTGAATGCTCAAAACACAACAATACTCACATTTAGATGCGCTCCTTGGACGTGCTGCTCATTCAACAAGTTATTTACAGCCAAGAGTAGTTGCAGAAAGATTTTCATACGCCTTTGACTGATTCTTCTTTCTCTAATTTATTCTAATTTCGCACCAAATGGATCAATAAAAGCGGTGTTTATATGGAGAGAACAACGTTTTTTCTTTCTCTCAACTTTCCTTTAAACTTTTGCGTCTCAATAAAGTAGCCTTTCCTTCCAAATAACGTCCCGGGACTCGCTCACATTC